GGTGCATGTTGGTCCCCTATGATCCTCTATTTCTTATGTTATTTGAGAGCTGAGTTGATGAGATAGCCACCTGTCAGTGACAGTGGCGTACCTGGGATACTCCGTCAGGGGGGGCAAGCGACCGAAACAAACAAAAAAAGGCGATGATAATTTTCACTTCTGGCGAGCGAGCGAGCAAAACAAAATCTTTAAGTAACATTTGGTATATAAACTGGTATTGTTGCAAGTTGGGGTGGGAACATTCACTTGTTAGCGACGTTAATTTAATTTTTTTGCAAACGAGTGTAGCGAGCAAGAAAAAAATCACTTCTTTTTTAAGAATTGCCACTTAAACTTGGTTCAATTGTCCCATGCAGGGCGCGGGAACAATATTGTGTTTAGGGTGATTTTATACCCATTTTAGCTAGCGAGCGAAAATACATCTTTCTCTCAATGAATTGCTATATAAAATTTGTTTCATTGTTGCAGGTAGGGGGCGGGCACAATCGTGTAGCACTTTCGTTAACTGACGTCATTTTTAATGAATATTCATGTTTTGATTAAGAGGTGCTAATATTTGTTTAAGTATAATATTTCTGTTTACAAGTACACATTTTTGATACAGAGTATTATCACCAAAATTATACTCTGAATCATCATTTATTAGAATATACTATGTTAAGGTATTATTGAGTATTTGATTAATGTTCTTGTTTATTTTCTAATTAGTATTGATAGTGCGTATAGAATGTAAACAATAACCACGTTTTTAGATTCAATGCGTTTTTGTGCATGTTTTTGACACCGTCCATCTCTCGCCCAAAGTTGAGAGCCCTAATGTTTTGTGCTCTTGGTCATACTTGACTACTTTTGATGACTTTTTCAACTTGTCAGTGCCCAAATTTCAGTTTACTACTTCAGTGAGGTGCATAGCAACTCTTGCTTGGGCCTGATACGAGATTTATTCAGTTGGACATTTGATCTTCGTGTTTTTCAACGCAACTTTTCGTCATAACGATTTCAACCAAGATCTGACCTCGCCTTCGCATAGCCTATGGGTTATAGCATCTTGTCAGTTATGTGAGATGGTTCCCGTTCAACAGTCACTTTGTGTGTGGACTGCATTGTAGCTACATACGTGAACTTCATCCTGGGAAGTTTCCCATTCAACAATTAGTTTGTGCAGATTGCAGCTAGATCTACGTGAACTTCATGGAACCTCCACTTTCAACGACCAGAGTAAGGATCAATTAGTGTCTTTCTTCATCGGATTTTCTTCCAGTGTAGCGTTCACCCAGAGAGCTTGAATACTTCACGTTCACTAGACCTACGCTAGCACTCAGCAACTCGTGGGGTAGACCGAAAGCTTCAGTCTCTATAATCGTCGGTTGTTCCACTGAGACTACGTCTGGCTCCACTAGACCTCCGATAACCGAGGTCTAGTGGAGCCAGACGTAGTCTCAGTGGAACAACCGACGATTATAGAGACTGAAGCTTTCGGTCTACTCGTGGGGCTACTCGCGATCGACACGTCTTTACAGTATTTTACTTGGCGAGAACAATCAAGCCAGCCAGGTTTCTTCGACCACAGTTTGCTGGTTAGTATTTAAACACATAACATTGAGTGATTCACAGACTCCTACCAGATCTACAGCTACCTGTTAAGTAGTTACCATGGTTACACAGTGAAGCATTGAAGTTGACAACTGTTAATCTAACCTGAGTCTATTTTGTATAGACTACCATTGATTTTGTTCTTGTGCATGTTTTTATACCAACAATCACATTGAATTCAAGTTTAGAACATCTAGATCATTTTATGTAATAATCACCATCATTCATGTCAAGAAGAACTTATCTCGTACCTTTGTAAATGTACGTTCACTGTGTGAATCTTGGCATGACAACTAGAGGTCTTGATTCTTTCTAGATCTAGATCTAGTATAGTTCACAATTCGTTTGTGTCCATTAATTTATTTTAAGGCATTAACATTCGGCCATTATTATAGGCTGGTATCAGACTCAACCAAGGTTGATTTTGTTATTTAACGCTTCCAAGTACTAATTTTGTGTTATAGTACATTAGCATTGTCCGAGACAATATACCTTGTATGTTTGCATCTTTTCTTTTACCAACCTGATACCATTAATATTTTCTAGCATTAAGCAAGTGCAGCATCAAGGTAATAGTAGTCACTGACTATTTATAGCCACATTTTAAAGGACAGTTTTAGCTTTTTACTTTCAGGTAAATAGAATATTTGTTTTTTTTTTCTTTTTAGCGACAAGTTGTTTGATTGTCGTTGATTTTATACCACAGCCCTACAGGAAGTGTGTCCTGTTATTTTCAAGTTGATGTTTTAGTACACAGATTTTGTGTCTATTGATTAAATATCAGTTATAAATTTCAGTGAAACTTTACATTTTTGTATTCTTTTGTAGTTTAATGAAAGACTATCTTGTATGGTTGAATTTGACTTAATTAGTATAACTTGAGATTGAGAGGTGATAAATGCAGCTTTCTAAATTCTAGTGAATGTTCAAAGATTGATTAGAGTGAGAAATTGGTGTATGTTTACCGATATATTAATAATCATTACCCTGAAATTAGATAGATCCCCTCAACGCTCGTTTTACTAAAAAGGCAATGTCAATCCCATTTTGGCGGGCAGGCAACCCCCTACATTTCTCTTTTTAATGATATTGTAGCAGGTTAGTGGTGGGCACATAATTCCACGAGCTAGCGAGCGTAGCGAGCGAAAAAAAAAATCACTTCTCTTTTATAGGGAAAATATGGTACATAAAACTTGGGTTCATTGTTCCATGTCAGGGACGTGATTATTAAAAGCGGTGTTATTTCTATTTTGGCGAGCGAGCGTAGCGAGGGAGCAAAAAAAATCACTTCTCTTTTATAGGGAAAATATGGTATATATAAACTTGGGTTCATTGTTCCATGTCAGGGACGTGATCATTAAAAGCGGTGTTATTTCTATTTTGGCGAGCGAGCGTAGCGAGCGAGCAAAATTTTTGTAATGATAATTGGTTCATAAATTTCAGATTTTTTTGTTGCAGGGCAGGGCTTACACAATCATGTCTAAGGTGATGTTAATTCCGTTTTGGCGAGCACGAGCACACCAAAACTTCTTTGAATAACGTTTGGTACATAATTATTAACTGGTTGTTGCAGGTTGGGGCGGGAACGTTAGCAGTGTCAATTCCATTTTGGCGAGCGAGCATAGCGAGCAAGCAAAAAAAATAAATTCTCTTTTAATAAAAATTAATAAATAAACTTGTTTTTATTGGTGCAGGTCAGGATGGACGCAATCGCGTTTAACGCGATTCAATTCCTTTTTGGCGAGAGGGCGAAAAAACTCTCCTACTTTTAATGATATTGTTGCAGGTCAAGGGTGGGCACAATTGTTTCCAAAGCAATGTCTATTCATTTTATTCGCGAGCGAGTGTAGCGAGCGAGAAAAATGAATTAGTCTCTTTTAGTAACATTTGGTACATATATTGTGTGTTATTGTTGCCATGGTTGCAGGTTGGGGCCCGTCGGGGCAGGCACAATTTTATTCTAGGCAATACTAATCCTTTTCTTTTTTCAGGGGGACGAGCAAGTGAAAACATTTAATACAAAATAGGCTAGCAAGCAGTTCGCGCCAGCGAAGAGTTTCGAATTTGTTATATCACTTATATTTTCCTATTTTCATATGTTTTAATTTTTCAGGGCCGTATGCGGAATATTTTTCAGGTGGGGGAGGGGGAAAGATGCGTTAAAAGTTTTTGAAGAATCTCAAAAGCAAAAGGAGTGAAGGGAGTTCGAGCGACCGAACTGGTCATGAGGGTACTTTTGCATTTTCAAAAGTAGAATTGAAGGATTTGGTAATTAAAGGCGTACACTACATTTTCAGGAAAAAAATTGTACGTTTTCAAAATATCTGGGGTCAACTGCCCCCCCCCCCCCCCCCCTTGGCGCGTACGGCCATGGTCTTTTTTTTTTATAAATTTCCCCATTTTTATTCCTTTCCTTTTCTTTTCCCTTTTTCTTCCTTTCCTTTTCTTTTCCCTTTTTCTTCCTTTTCTCTTCTTCTTCCTTTTTTCTTTCCTTTTTTTCCTTTTTTCTCTTTCTTTCCTTTTTTCTTCCCTTTTCCTTTTTTTTCTTCTTTCCTTTCCTTTCTTTTCTTTTCTTTTCTTTCCCCTTTTTCTTTTTCCCCCTGGAGCCCGTCAGGGGGGGCACTCTGCCCCCCCCTGCCCCCCCCATAGGTACGCCAGTGGTCAGTGACCTCGCTGTGTGGTCTAATCCCTCCTAGCCACACTAGTGTTGACAAGCTTTAAATGCAGTGGCTGACTATACCATATACATTCAAACGATTGTACGAAATCAAATCATTCATGTTTCCTCGTAGATACTCAATTCAAATCATTCAGTTCAGTTCGATTACAATGCAATTTAATTTACTTTTTAAATCAGTTATTCAATTCAAATCACTTTATATCAGTCCAATACATGTCATGCAATTAGGTTTAATACATTTGAACCTTTTGGACTGTTCACATCAATTCAATATTTTAAAAAATTTGTAATCACATTCAGAAAGATATCAAAAGTCTCAAGACAAATATTCTTACACTTGTAATAAAGTCCCCCCCCCCCGGGGGGGGGGGGGGTACTCAGATTTAGTTTGGACGGGGGTGTGCCGCTCACTCGAAACCCCTAACTTTATTAATAGTCATTTGGGGGATTTTTCTCGAAGTAAAGCCCATGTTTTACAATTTGTTGGTGTTTGCATGGAAATTTTGAAAAAACGGACCCATGTTTAGGGATATTTTTGTTTAAATGGGATCCATGTTTATGGATTTTTGGTGGAAAAGTGACCCATTAGAGCGGCACACCCCGTATGTCTTAATATGTGAGTACCCCTCCCCACCCCCCCCCCCCCCCATACGTTTTTTTTTTTTTTTTTTAATACGGTATTTGTTTTAATTATATAATATCATTTGGTTTTTGCCATCCGCTCTTGAAGAAAGGCTATTTGTAAACTTTGAGCGAAGGGCGTGCGAAGGGCGTGCATTAAGCTCTTTTCAGATATCTTCTTAGATTGATATTTCTCTCTTACAGGCGTGAGACACGCACTCAGATGAAATAAACCATGCTGTCGAGGCATGTCAGAAAAATAGGAGCTCAATTGAGCTCATTTGCCCTCAATAATGGCGTACTTCAGCAGCAGTCTGCCTGCAGGTGCCTGTCCACACAACAGCCCTTGTACCTGCGCCGATCTACTGGCCTGGGAAAGTTCAACGAACCGCTGTCTGGTATGGAAATGCCGCGGGCTGGGGGTATTGCGACGATGATGCGACTACCATATCAAACGACCGCTGAAGGTAACCGATGCTTTCTGTTATTGTACCAAATTTCCTTAATTTGCATTGCTAGTCTTATTGATTGTTATTATTCAAACGGTTGGTATTATTATTCTTATTTTTTATTTTACACATATCACCACAAAACTTGCTGAAGGCTGAAGCAGATAGTGTGAGTGGCATGAATCATGATGTGGGCGTGTCTCTCGGACTACAGACAGTGATTACCATGGTAATGGGTAAAAGTAGTGTCGCCTTCAAACTGGCGTAGCCCCCATGCATGGGTCCTTCAAATTACATTGATTTTCAAGATGAACATGGCTAACATTAGGGCCTTCGTCTTTTAAAAAAAGCATTTACATGTATGATGTATCTCCTCAAATTATTTTTTAAAGCCAATTAACGCGAAAATTTTGACTTTGTATTTTCAGGACTGGATGCTTGTTTCGTTGGTATTCCTCTGGATATTGGAACTTCCAATAAATCAGGAACTAGGTTTGGACCGAGACAAATCCGCACAGAGTCGGTTCTCTTGAGAAATAACAACTCTATTGGTAAGAAATCATCAGAAGTAGACCTAGGTTAATTATTTAAAGAAAAACATGCAAACAAATCATCAAATAACATGTTAAACAATTTAAAATGAGATTTGATTAAGTAGCCAAATAAAAACAACTGAAAGGGGCTAAATTGCATAATTTCAGTCCCCATGCAGTCTCTAGCGTAGTAAATCACTCGATACATGAGTGTGGCTAATTATTGTAAAAAGCGAGGAGGATAAATAATGAGAAAACAGAGACCAGCTTCCAGATGACCCCCTAATTTGCCCTCTATTTTAGCTATGACAAATTCAATTTTCTGTTTACTTTGTACGAAAGCTAAAAATATTTCAATGTCCTAATTCGATCCTTGAAATCCGCATAAATCTGGAGATATAGATCAGAAGTTATTTTTTTAATGTTATGCTTCTTCATGCTGACATTTCATCCTTTTATTTTGAATCTTGAATTTAGATTTTTGCAATATAAAAGCACCAAAAGCCCCCCCCCCCCCCCCAAAAAAAAAAAATAAATAAATAAAATAAAATAAAATAAAATAAGGCCAGATTACATTTGAAACTAACTGTAATTTTTATTCCAGTAGATTGTATCTCAACCTAATCTCAATATAATTCTACACGTAGAACTAGTAAAGTAGTAAAAGTATGAATTGGATTTTTAAAAAACACATAATTACTCATTACAATAAAGTTTTCTTATAAATGCTGGGACTGGAGGTGAGAATATTGCATTGAACAGACAAAGTTATCAAAAAATACAAAATATGCAGGAACATCTCTTTCTGTGGGACAGTTTATTTTATTCTAAACATGGAAGAGCCCCTTACAAAGAAATGAAGATTACAATTAAAGCCAATGTCAATTCTGGAATTGTATACTTCTATCAAACAGGCGCAGCACCATTTGAGTCGCTTCAGGTCGCTGACATTGGGGACGTGACCCTTAACCTCTACGACCTGAAGAAATCTTGCGAGATGATTCGAGAGCAATATGCCACCATTGTTGCAAATGGATGCAAGCCCCTGACTCTAGGAGGGGACCACACTCTTACATACCCCATCCTTCAAGCAATTAAGGTATTACCTCTCCTTCAACTATACCCCCTCCCATTAAAGTTACTCAAGCTTGGGTATATAGAGGGCCGCATTCTGAGCCAACGGGTATTGCGCTCCTGTGCGTACTAGTGTCCCTAATATGCGTACGTCCGTACGGGAGCGTAAAACCTGTTGGCTCAGTGTTCACCTAGTTGCCTACTTGATTCAAAAATGCCTTGGAGGAACTGTATGTCCTTTGGCAAGGTATTAATCTACATTTTCCACATTCCACCCAGGTGAGTTGAAGTACGCATTACACACCTCAAGGGATGCAGAGACCGTGCCTTCTCATCCATCATGCTCTTCTTGTTTTTTGATCGCTCCCTTCCTCTCTTCATAAAATATTGACAGCCTGGAGCACTTCTAAATATGCCTCAAATTACATGGCAAAAAAAAGGAATAAAAGGGACAAGAATAGGGGGTTATACGACTCTTGTGCACCCTCCCCCATTAAATTGGCAGGTCACCAAGTACCGGTGACTTGTTTTTATATGTCTTTTACTTTTTCCTCCCATTTTCATTCTGTCAGTCTGTCTCTCTTCTCTTGCATACTCAATCTGTCTGTGTTCTCTCACATTTATCTTTTTTAAATATTTATTTACGCGCACCTTGTTCCTTTAGCTTTAGTTTAAATTGTCTGATTTCGACTATCGGTTCATTTTTGCGATGTTCTCTGACGAGTGCAAGACGAAAAGCTTCAGTATGTCTCTTTGATTTCCTTATCTTCTCTATCTAACTTTGTGAGAATACTTCTTTGTTTTTAAAGACTATAAATCTTACTACCTTTTAGGCCTATAATTCACAAGCATAGGTTTCACCATAGGCCCCTCAATATTTCAATGTTCTCCTAGTTCAGTCTTTTCAATTAATACTCACTGGAAACAAATTGATATGGGAAAGTCACCTTCTGTTCCTAAATTTGACAATAGAATTCATGTTTGTACCGTGTAGATTGTAAAATGAGAAAATATGAAACCATAAACCAAAACTAAACCGTTTTTAAATGTCTCTACCTTCACATCAGGATAAGTACGGCCCTGTAGGTCTGGTTCATGTGGATGCCCACGCAGACGTCAGCGACACAATGCTTGGTGAAAAGATAGCCCACGGTACTCCGTTCCGACGCGCCGTTGAGGATGGGTGCTTGGACTGCAAGAGGGTGGTCCAGATTGGTCTTAGAGGCACCCAGTATAGTCCCATCCCAGGAGTCAAAGGCTTTAATGAAGAAATGGTAATGTTCTTCTTTTTTTTTTTTGCTTTGTTTTTTTGTTCCTTGCACCAATTCAAAGACAAAATGATATAAAAGCCTTTGCATTTAAAATCCTCCAGTCCTTATAACTACCTTTCAAAGCAGAGGAAATAGTAACCTGAATTTCCCTCTTCGTCCGTACACTTTCCATTTTATCCCATTTACCCGTCTTATGCAAAAAAATTCTTTCTAAAGACAGAGACAAACAAACAGCAACAAAGGGTCAGATTATTTAGTGACTGATCGATACAATTTTTAAAGGGATAGTTGAGTTTTATTGCAGAGGGCGTTACACAAAATATTTTTTGTGAGATAATGAAAGACCGAGTGTCAAATTTGAAAGAATATAAAATGTAATTGACAAAATCATCTTTGTTTGATCAAAATTGGTTCAGAGACAGCTGAAATATCCATAAATATAACCATTTTGGGGCCCCACAAATATTTGGTAATTTTGAACCAGCTGTTGAAAAATGAGACGTTATATTCCAGCCAATGCCAATGCTGGTTTTTTGTTTGCTTCTCCGTGTTGGTTATAATAGAAGACAACCAGCCGGCCTGTGTATTGTAAATATTAACGTCACCGTATTTTTTTAAAGCGGAGCTGAATTGGTATGACTGATTTAATATATATTTCACACATTTTGGGTGTCTAAATATGTATTTGTATTTGTTTACTCTTCCATCTCGCCCTATGTTAAAGGCGTCGTTTAACAATGTTAAATCTGAGATGCCTGGCCCTACGTGTTATTAGTGTCTGTGATATGGTGTAATATTGAAGCCCTTCAAAAAATTGCGGTTCAAAATGATCAAGAAGTGCCTCAAAAAAGGAAAAATCTTTGAGTGACTGGTTTTATCATACTTGTTTTCCCCAAAGGCTGTAGTGCTATGAAAACCGTTAGGAAAACGCAAAAATTGATTTTGATTTCCAATCATAAATATCTTGAAACCAGACGGCCGATCGGCTTGTAAAGTCATGGGGTTCCTGACTGACCTAAGGCCAAATAAAAAAAAACATGTTTAGCGTCCTGCTTTTTTGAAAAAATAAGAAGGAGGAGGCCCTTTTTTTCTTCTTTCAAAATAGATCCATTTTAGCAGTGTTTTTCATGTTTTTTTCTTTAAAAAAAAAAAATAGAGGAGGCGGCCCCCAAAAAGGAAGCGGGCAGGTACGCTAAACATGTATATTTTTTTTAATGGCCTAAAGGTTTATAATTATCATTGCAGCATAGAGCATGAGCTTAATCCAGGATTTTGTTTTAGAATCCGAGACAAAGTTACCCAATCCCTTTAATTACTATTTCTTCCAAATTTATTTTTTCAGGGCTTCAGAATTGTTCCTGCGGAAGAATGTTGGCACAAGTCGATGAACCCACTGATGGAGGAAGTCAGGGCCATGATGGGAGATGGACCGGTCTATCTGTCCTTCGATATTGATGGTATAGACCCAGGACTATGCCCTGGAACAGGTATGACATCTTACCGGTAGTAATATTTAAAGCCTGTCTGTACTAGTTTGCCCAGGGGGATTAGACCTCCCTGTAAGGTCACTGACCGGTAGTTATCTCATCAAATCAGCTCTCAATTAACATAAGAAAAAGGGGATCATGGGGGACCAAGAGGCACCGATTAGGCATTGTTTGCTTTATAGAGGCCGCATGCAAGTAGCTATAGGTCGTGCGGTGGGGCTTTAAACCCATTGACTACTGAGTTCTCCACTTCCTACAGGCTTAATTCGGTGACCATCCGGTACCAGTACCCAATGGTTTAATGATGTAAAGACATGAAGTAATTCAATTCAAGCCGAATGATTATGGCCCTTAATCTCAAAGGCCACTTAGCTTTAGGCTAGCTACAATCCTGTCTTAAGCCTCGTTCAAATATAAGGTTAACAGATTATTTGAAAGCACCTACATTGGCCCGAATTCACAAAGAAGGATCAAGTTGAGCGTGCCTTGCGCGCGTCTGATATTGGCAACGCATTAATCTACATTCATCACTCCATACCCAGGAGATATATGGGGACCTGGTAGGATGTCGAAAGTCTTCGAGTGTTATTCTCGAAAGCGGACTAAATTTAGTCCATGGTTTAACCCACCGACTAAGTCTGGAATGCCAAGTATCCATATAATATGTCACTTAAGTAAGATAAAATGTAATAACTTAATTAATAAACAATAATATATCTATGATATAATTATGTTATCATGGTAGTTCAGGGACATATCAAATTATTCAAAAATATATTCATATGGACATTTGGCATTCCATACTTAGTTGGTGGATTAAACCATGGACTAAATTCAGTCCGCTTTTGAGAATACCACCCCTTGTGTTTAATAGCAATACGCCCTCACGGTGACCATATGGTAAGACTACTCCCCAGGGAGTGGAGATGGTACACTTTGCGGGCGAATGAAACCAATGACAGGGGTTATAGTATCTGTAAAGCGCTTAATAGAGATAGTATTTCGTATTAAGCGCTTTATAAATCCAGATTATTATTATGAACATCGTTATCTGGTTTTAGGTACTCCTGAGATTGGTGGTCTGACATCCATCCAAGCTATGGAGATAATCAGAGGATGTCAAGGTCTTAACCTTGTAGGTGGTGACCTTGTTGAGGTGGGTTCATATCATTTTTATTTTTATCTTAAAGGCATCGTTTAACAATGTTAAATCTGAAATGCATGTTATCAGTGTCTGTGATATGGTATAATATTGAAGCCCTAAAAAAATTGCGCTTCAAAATTACCATGAAGTGCCTCAAAAGAGTAAAAATCTTTGAGTGACCGGTTTTACCATACTCATTTTTTCCAATAGACTGTATTGTTATAAAAACCGGAAGGAAAATGGTTTTTGAAATTTCGATTTCCAATCATAAATATCTTGATAATCAGACAGATCGACTTGGGGGGGGGGGGGGGGGTATTCAGATTTGGTCTGGACGGGGTGTGCCTCTCAGGCCTCTAAACCCCTATCCATTATTAGGTGGCATTTTTCTAGAAAACAGACCCATTTTTCACAATTTTCGGTTGTAGGAAAGTTTGGAAATTTTGTAATAGTATTCTTGTTAAAAGTTGGACCCATGTTTAGGGTTTTTGTGTGCAAAAGAGACTCATTAGAGCGGCACACCCTTGTATGTTCTAATGAAGTACAGTACCCCCCCCCCCCCCCCCCCCCCCGCCGTTGATGATGTGAACCATACCGGTATCTTGAAATTTCTGAGGTTTTTGGCAATAATCGGGTTGAAGACATTGAGTAAAGAATTAAACACAGGTCGTTGTATAACTTTCTCATTCTATTGCAGGTTTCTCCTCCATATGACACCACCGGTATAACAGCATACACCGGAGCGCATCTTTTGTTTGAGATGCTTTGTGTTCTTCCTGGGGTCAAGTATTACTAGTGCCACTTGCCAAATTACCCAGGAGGTGGGTTAAAGTAAATATTCATCAAAAAATTACAACTATGACCAGTAATTTATCATGAGATACCAAGGAGCTTGCAGATGACAATAGTGTAAGTTTTAGATTAACTGTGTATCGGATAACAACTAAAAAAACCTCTCAGGATGTGGGATTTACGAGTGCTTCGCCAAATTTTTTAGCAATGTTTTAATGATGTCGCATCAGTGACCGATCATGCGTAATATTATGCTAATTCGGTCCCTTGAGTGACGTTTCAAATCTCGGAAGTGTCCAGTGAGCTCTTCAAGTGCAAAACTGTTAATAATTACTTTGTATGTTTTTAAACAGGGATTTTTTTATAATTGTTTGATCTAACCTTCCCTTATGCAATGATTCAAATTAAATCAATATTTGAAATTGATTCACCTCTACTTAAAAGGCTCTTGCACTCTCTGATCGCTACAGTCGCCTCTTAAACTTAGGAATTGATCAACATTGATAATGACAGAGAGCAATTTAAAAATGACTCGTTGTTTGATCAAGCAACAAGGATCTAGGAGTTTATCTGTATATTACCAATGACGCAGGTTTTCGATCCTTTGTTAAACAATCTATCCGCTCTTGTTGAGGCTGCTTATGCGTCTGTAGTACTCACACTCAGCCTGACGGGTTCATATGATAGATGCACTCATCCTTAACGTGAGTATCGATAGATAATATTTTTACTGGTAAATGGACTCATGCATTGTATGTAAATTGTATATCCAGGTGAGACACCCACTAGAGTTTGTCTACTGATTATGGAGTCCAAAGACAAGTGTCATCCATTTTATCCTTGGAACAAATATTCAGAATAAATCACAAGAAATAATTCTATAACTGGATAAATAAGAATCAAGATGTCATGAAATCAATTTCTCATCACAATTTAATAACTTAAAAATATGTGGCATACATGTAGAAGCACAATTATATATCATGTACAAAAAGAATTGCAATTTCACTACCATAATGTTTTCATGCATATGTTTTACGTTTAATTTTACTTTGTCACTGATGTATACAAAAAACGCAATTCAGCTCTGAGGCCGCAAATATATTTATTCAATGAATTAAACTATTTAAAATAAATAAATATATGTTTCTTCAATTTCACATATAACTATGAGAGCAGTGTGTTTGTAATTAGACACTCGGCATACCATATAAAACAATGACTTTTAAAAAAAGTTTGATCAGGAAAAACTTCATCTGCAGTTATGAATATGAATATGAAATATTTTTTTATCTTAGAAACGAATGATTACAGTTCATGTATAGTTAACAACTAAATTATTCATACCCTTACCAAGTTTAAGTATGTGAAAAATTAATTTGTCCTGTTTTATGTTTCTTGAGAATGTGACATATTAAAGCTTATATCAAAAAGTATTCGACAAAGGCCCTAATTCAAAGGTCCACCTTCCATTCTTAAGTTACCAAAAACACAAAGAACATCAAATTTACAAGGAGTATGAATAACTTATTTGTTAACTGTATGTTGCACATTCAAGGTTATGAATATTCGTACATATGTGTGATTGTTTGTGAATATCTTCATTACCTCAATAATTGGACTATTTAATTATTTCATTCTCATAGATTGTATTGTAGGAACCACCCAATTTAGGCAATGGAGGTTAGTACATTTATACTGTGTGTGAGCCTTAAAATTTCATTGTTAATTACTTGTGTACATTTTTATATTTTTTTAACAAATAGTACTATAGTATAGGAGAAATTATATTGAATTATTATGAATTGTGTGAACAAAATAATGAAAGTACATATAAAGTACATATAAAGTACAAATTATATCACAAAACAATTTTCTTCTTGTACGAATGATCATTATTTCTTGTGTTTTTGTGTAAATATTTTCTCGAACTCCGAGCAGAAGTTGATACTTTCTTCTAAAGAACAAAATACATGTGTACATTTTGAACTCTTTCTTATTCTTGGAAGTTATGTACTCGACTATACAACACTGATGCTAATTCATCGTATCCGGACACCTACCCCCTGGACATCCACCCCCAGTCAACTACCTCTAGGACAACTACCCCCTAGGAAAACTACCCCCGGGCAACTACCCCCTAGGATAGTTGTTTGGGGGTAGTTGTTCTAGAGCATAGTTTTTGTAGGGGGTAGTTGTCCCGGGGGGTAGTCGTCCTAGAGGGTGGTTGTCCTAGGGGGTAGTTGACTGGGGGTGGTTATCCAGGGGGTAGGTGTCCCAGAACCCTAATTCATATGAAATCCTCCATTTCATAGTATTTCACACCGGGGAGTACACACAGCATTTCAAAGAGAAGATTAGCTCCGATGAGGGCAGTCGTTCCCATTGGATCGTAGGGTGGTGACACCTGTCAAAATGTTAAAAATATACCCGTATATATTTTCATTGAAAAGTCACGTTGCATTCTACAAGGATCCAAGATTGACTTTCAATTGAATACTTCAAGGGACTTGGTAACATTGTTCAGATGAGAGAAAATGGTTGGGAAGATTAAAAAATGGTTGGTTGGTGTCGCACAGTGACGCCTTCAAAGAAAACCATAAATATCTTTGTGGTTTGAGAATTTGTTTCAAGATTGTTTGCATGTTGGAGGGTTAGTACAGTTGAAGAAATATAATAAGTAACATTTCATACAAAAATTACGCATTTTTTTCATCAACCTTCAACAAGTTTACTGAGTCACTTTCAGGAATTATGCCGATTCCCTCCCTCCCCCCCCCCCCTTCATGAAGATGGTGTGAAATACAATTGGAAAACTAATCATACCACCTTTCCCCCTCCCCTCTCCTCCCCTCCCTCTAACTGAATGACTGCACAAAATAAGGAGAAAGGGAAAAATATATTTACCTCTACCAGATCAGCTCCGACTAAATTCAGGCCTTTGCATCCTCTCACTATCTCCAATGCCTGAACCGTTGTCAGACCAGCTATTTCTGGAGTACCTGTTATAGAGTAAGCATAAAAATCACAGAATAGCCCATTCAATAACGTGTGGAAAATAACTCGGGCTGGTGTCTAAGCAAAATACATTTCAATTCAGTTCAATACATGAAAATAATTTCGATCGTATAGGATTTCATTGAAATAAAATCCAAACACAAATGGATTTTCATGGAACAAAAGAAGAAGGAAAGCATGTTAAAAATTGTAAGATCAGCATAGCGTATCATTTTTGTTAAAGGAGAATTTAATTAATATTAGTTTCGAAGAAGAGTTCTCACTGTTTCAATATCGTTAATAAATTCATCTCATTATTTGTTCTCATACATGAGTATCATACCACAGAATGATATTTACAAAGATATATACATGTATAACAGGGTAATTAGTAGGTATTTTGTATGTTTCTGAATCAATTTTGCCCACTAACGTTTCTTTAAATGTTTATAGAGTGTATTTTCACCATTTTTGTCTCGCCTGCGTAGCAAAAAGCAAGACATAGGCGCCACTTTTCCGGTGACGGCGGCGGCGTCAACATCAAAAACTTAACCTAAGGTTAAGTTTTTGAATTTTTGATATAATTTTTAAAGTATAAGTTTTTAGTCGATGAAACTTTGACTATAGGGTAATCAAGTATCCCCAATCATGTGAGTAGAATTTCAGATCACAAAGTCAAGGTCAAAGGTCATTTCAGGTCAACAGACTTGGACTATGTTATAGCATCATCATCGAAAACTTAACCTAAGGTTAAGTTTTTGAATTTTTGATATAATTTTGAAAGTATAAGTTCTTAGTCAATGAAACTTGGACTATAGGGTTATCAAGTCTCTCCAATCACGGGAGTAGAATTTCAGGTCACTAAGTTAAGGTAAAAGGTCATTTAAGGTCAACAAACTTAGACTTTGTTGTGGCATCAACATCAAGATTTTCAAAATGCTCCTTCTTCGTTATTTTTCAACCGATTTTGATTCTGATTGTTTCATATGATAGGGCTAGGAGGGGGATTTAAAATCTCTACACAGAATCGTGAAATTCATTATCTATGCTAATTTATGCAAATTTATTCGAAATCACAAAAAAGGCTTCTTCTCCTTCATTTCTCGATCGATTTTGATTTGGTTTGCTTTATATCGTAGAGCTTACTTTGGTACACTAAACTTCTACACAGAATTTTGAAATTGTTCTCCATTTATTAATTATGGTAATTTATGCAAATTTATTCCCAAAATAACAAAAATTGCTTCTTTTCCCTCATTTCCTGACCGATTTTGATTTGGTTTGCCTTAGCGGGTAGAGCTAAATTGGGATCACTAAACTTCTACACAGAATTGTGAGATTTTGCTCCATTGATTATTTATGGTACTTTATGCAAATGAAATGAAATTATGTCCCTTCCAGGGCATCAAATTTTTATTTTTTGACCAGTTCAAAAGTGTACCACATAAAATTTACGATATTTGTTGTTGAGAGATGCAGATGAGCGCTACGTCATTGAGGTTCTGGTTTATCATATTGGATTGCGTTATGCAGGCGAGACCGCCGAGAGCATTTCCCTTGTTGAAATTGGTACTTGCCTGTTCCTGGTGCTAGTCCAGGGTCTATGGAATCAATGTCGAAGGACAGATAGACCGGACCATCTCCCATCATGTTTCTGACTTTCTCCATCAATGGTTCCATAGATTTATGCCAACACCGATGGGCGGGTACAACCTGGAAACCCTATAGACATTCGAACCAGAGAAAAGTAACACTCAGTTCCTATAGGAAATCTGTTAATTAAGATGGTCATAACTCAACCATTACTTTACATATTCAAATGGTTTTCTACATTTGGACATTATTTTTGATGCTCTTTTGGAAAATGAAGAAAAAAATTGAGAAATTCCTAAAATAGATTTTTATGTCACAGCTTTGATACAAAACAAAACACTGTGACGACTGTAGTTTGGATACTGATGAGCATAAGGCATACAATCTTTAAAAATTAAATATTATTATTATTATTATGATTAACTACTCTCTAAAGTTATATGCTATATTTTGAAACTTAAAGGAAATGTGTTTTAATCTAATTTTTCTAAAACGATTGCAAGCAATGATAATGCAAGACTTCTATTCTCAAAATTATCTATTTAAAACATTTTCACATAAACTGCCATTTGAAATGTTTCTTAATTTTGTATCTGTTATAAGACTCAAAGGAATAACATATATTACTCCCCCCCCCCCCCCCTTCATCAATCATGGCTGTCATGCACAGGTCAGTAAACTGCTACGATTCACTTAAAGAAAAGTGAAATGGATTTTGAATCTGAAATTGTACTGTGTACAAACAATTCAACGGTACAGAAGTTATGACGCTGGATGATTACTTGTCTACGTTATAATAGATAATAAATAATAAATAATAAATATTAAATATTAAATAATAAATAATAAACAATACATAATAAATAATAAATAATAAATAAATAATAAATGATTAATAATTAATAAAACTAATACTACTAATAATGACAATAATAATAAAACAATAACAACAACAACAAAAATAAAATTTTAACAATTTTTTTATTATTTTTTTAAAGATATTGAAAAAAAATGTTGCTTATAAAGCGCTTACCATCTCTTTTTGGTATTCGTAGAGGTCGTTTGGGGGGCTGTAATTTGACCCCCTCAATCCAATCTGAATGACCCTCTTCGGATCCAGACACCCCTCTTCCGCTGCCCGACGGAAAGGGGTACCGTGAGTGACCTTCTCCCCTAACATAGTGTCGGCGACATCATCATGGGCATCGATGTGAACGAGACCGACCGGACCATACTTCTCCTATGAAATGGGAATTCATTAGAGATCAAAATCAAATGTTGAATCTTTATAATATTGTATAATAAAGAAAAAAAATAAAGATGATAATAAAAGCAACAAAAACAACAATAATAATAATACCAATGATGATGATGATGATGATAATAATGATAGCAATACTAAGAATGATAATATTAATAATAATAATGATAAACTAATAATAATAATACTAACTAAAATATGATTCATAATGGTCAATTACGCTGTAACTGGTAAAGCGCTTTATAAGAAATCGTTATTATAATCATTATAGAATACTAAAGTAAAATACAGAGTACCAGTACAAAAATGAAATATAGAGACTAATAAAACTAGAACGTAAATGCGTACCGCTAAAGGTAGAAATTTTTTGTTGCTACGTACTGAAGCAGTTAGGATTTGAGGTGGAGAAAAACAAACTTTTATGACCGAATGTGAGTAGTTAAAAGAGAAAAGAGGAGAATGAGAGGAGGAGAGGGAATAGGGAGAGAAGCAAAAAGAAGGTGAGCGAAGATATTTCAAGCACGTACTACTGTGACGTATGACAACTATACAACCATACATCCATCGTATGAATGTATGGTGTTAACCAATCAGAACGCAGGAAACCATATACAACCATGTATCCATACATCTACGTAATCATACAACTATAGAGCGCGTGTAAAGTTGTTACGTTTGATTTGTTAAAACGGTACATCCATTTGAAGGTATTAGTGAACCCCACGTATAGTTGCTTTAGGTACTCATCGGGCCTCTGGAAATTTTGGCTTAATAGCCTGCTGACACATGGGAATTGATCATATTTTGCATGATGTTACCAAGGACTATCCAGCCTCTCATGGTTGCAGTATAGTCCTTAGTCCTTGTTGCTTGTTATAATATCTAGTTAACTATTATTAGTATATTGTTCTAGTTAGTTGAGCAGAGATTGTTACAATTAAGTTACAACTTCATTTTGTTATACATATATTTATTTTAATCTTGCAGTTACAGGTACAGCTAACTACTGTTATCAATCTTACAGATACAGGTTACATGTTACAGTTACATTGTATATACGTAGTATAGTTTAGTTTGTTATACTCTATATTATTTGTACGATTTGTTGTTATTATACTCATCATGTTCATACTCAGCTCTTTTCCCTATCTATATGTAACATATGTTTTATGGACCACTGCCTTGAATTGAATATATGGTTGTAATTAAGTTGTCATGTTTATGGCACGTCCCGCCTGTCATAGACGTACACAAAACAAAACCATAAACAGAACAGTATCAGTACCTTAATTGCTTGAAGGATGGGGTATGTAAGAGTGTGGTCCCCTCCTAGAGTCAGGGGCTTGCATCCATTAGCAACGATGGTGGCATACTGCTCTCGAATCATCTCGACAGATTTCTTCAGGTCGTAGAGGTTAAGGGTCACATCCCCGATGTCAGCAACCTGAAGTGACTCAAATGGGGCAGCACCTGGAGACAAGTATCATTGAAAACTCATCATGCAAAGCTTAATTTGATTTCCCCATTCCTGCTTTCACCTGGAAAGTTTTTGAAAGTCAGTCAAAAAGAGTAGGCCCTAAATGATTTGATTATTTTAAAGGCCATCTGTACTAGTTTATAGGAGGGATTAGACCACCCTGCAAGGTCACTGGACAGGTGGTTATCTCATCAACTCAGCTCTCAATTAACGAAAAAGAGGATCATGGGGGACCAATATGGTCACCGATTGGGCATTGTTTTCTATATAGAGGGAGCAAGTAGCTACAAGTAGTACAGTGGGGCTTTAAATTAATTTTCATGGAGCATATAAAAACATTTCACCTGTATAATTGCATGGTCCAAGAACAAATGACTCGTAGCGGATCTGGCGAGGGCCAAGTCTGGTTCCAGATCGGTAGGACGTCCCAATATCCAAAGGCACTCCAACATAACAGGCATCTAAACCTGTATGTATAACACACAGAAAAAGTATAGTACAGTCAAACCTTATTAGTGACCACCTGTCTACAACAAGCACATTTTTTGTCTCCCTTAAATTTGACATTGAAACATGTACTAAAGGAACCTGTCTACAAAGACCACTTTTTGTGTTTCCCTTGCCCTTGGGCAGTCACAGGTTTGACTGTACATAGTGCACAAAAGGTCCAAGGGGAGCAATTCATATCAATTAAGTCACTTATTTTCCCAATCCAATATTAAAGTCAGGAAGAAAAGAAAATAAATGTACAAAGAAATTGTGGTAACTATTCAAAATCTGGCAAGTAAATACAATATATCATTAAAATTATGCAGAAAATGATATACATGCAGTCTTACATATTAACAAAATGAGAATGATATAATTCATATTATAACTAAAAGATGATATGTTACAGTGCCAGTATTATAGGTTAAATGAAGAAACTGAAATCATAGAGGCATATAACAAAATTTCCATTGATTAATTGATAAGGTTGTTGCCATTTCTTTCAGATAAAAAGAAATAACATATACAGTCTACTAATACTGGGATAGACAAAAATATGATAGATCTGAATGCAAATAAGATACAAAGGTTAGATATTGACATACAAATCTAAATTAAATATAAGGTGGTACTAGTACATGTTTTAAGGTCAGACTGAGATATCATGTCTAGTGGACTTTGCACTTTGAAACTTCTTTGTTAGCTTTCACTAGAGCCAGGCTTTATAGACATGGTCTACATACGGACTATAAGTTCAACGTACACTGCAAATCACTTGAGCTTCAGTTTGAGTCTATCCTAAGTAGACCCTATGTAGTCATATACATGCACACCATATTATACAAATATTCAATGGATGAAAATGATTGCTTTGTTATCTTAGCTTGCCACTGATAATAATAATATTCACCTATAGTATCTGTTTGATGAGGTAGTCTCATCATTGTGCTAATTCCTCCAACGCGCGGGAACTTTGCTCCACTGAGGGGCTCATTCAGCTGTCGTCTGCTACTGCTACTGCAAGCGAAACTTCTCCGAGTTGTCCCCCGAACTGCCGGGTGAGCTTGGCGGACAAACGATGACCTCTTCAACGATTCCCTCAAGATGAAAACTCCGAACATTTCAACTTTCACACTGGCGCTTCTAAAGCATATCGATGACATAATTGGCGTATCTTTTCGGTGAAACAAGGAATCAGGATGAGGTCATTCAGGCATGCAATTTAGTGATATTAAAGGCAAAATTAGTCTACGTCTACTATAGATATCTTCCTCAGTGTACAACATGAAGTGGCGCTGGTGTGACTGTGAGCGACATAGCCAGCCATATCCATATATGCACACGTACGCGAGCACGTGTAGCTATAGTGTGCATGCATGTGACTCGATCGCATAAGGGACATGGTCAGGTGCTGTACTTGGTCACGTGAACAATTATGACAATGCCAATGAATATTGATATCTTTTCTTGGACGGCCCCTCATGGGGGGGGGGGGGGGTGGAAAAAATACAAATATAGGATATAATAAAAAGATGAATGGTAATATATTTATATTTACAGAAAAAAAAAGAGAGAGACAATGTTTGTATATCTAGCTCAAGCTATTGTATTGCTATGATTGCAGTTTTCATTAAAATAGACCATTTTCGTAATGTAACCAAATTGAATGCACAAGTCTTTGTGAAGTGCCTCAATACAAATTATTTCATTCACCTGACAAGAATAATAGTAATTCAATAGTCAGAATGCAAACTGCATATATCAAGTTGTATCTTCTTTTTTTTCTTTTTCACAAAACAAATGAATTTCAAAATATATCATATGATTCAAATGTACAGGGTATTAAGCATATAACATATGAGCTGAAATATCTGTCAATACACATGATTTCATATAACTGAATTCTCTTCACCTTTTATCCGTTTTCACTTTTATCTCGGGGAAACATATTTTCCAGATTTCAAACATGGTAAAATCAAACAAGATGTATTTGCCTTTTTCCTAAAATAAGGCTAGCATAATTACCGATTACACCAAGTTGTAGCAATCCTAACAAAATACATTATTATTTTTAACACCGTTTCCTTTGCCTAATCAAATAAAGCTTCAAATTTGTTATACTCTCATTATTTTGAGCAAGTGATAAGGAAACAAATAATATTCAAGGAGTCGCATGCATGTTAACTGAATGCAGTGGCGGATCCAGGGGGGGGGGGCCGGGGGCCCGGGTCCCCCCCCCCCCCCTTGAGAAAAAATCATGTAAAATCACGTGATTTTTACCTTTTTTGGGGGTTGGGCCCCCCCCCCCCCCTGGCGCTCAAGGGGGGGGGGGGGGGGGTGCAAATTGAATTTTTTTGAGGATCAAAAAAAAAAATGTGCTCACTACCCCCCCCCCCCCCCCCCCCCCCCGACATGATCGCGCTACAATGCACCACAATTATAAAAAGAAAAAAAGAAAATTTGGACTTTTGCCAACATTGAATATGTGTAAATCATGAAACATGTGCGTAGGGTACGGAAACTAAGTAGGCCAGTATCAATTACGACATGGACAGGCGCGTACGCAGGGTGTGGGGGGGGGGGGGGGGTTAACCCCCCTCTCATTTTTTGTAATGTGTGTATTTTGGATCAACCCCCCCCCCCCCCCCCCCCCCCTTATTCAGCGGCTGGCTGAGTCGTTGCGAAATTTTGGGCCCGATTTAATGTTAACCCCTTCCCCCTTGAAAAAAATCCTGCGTACGCTACTGGACATGGATATGAACTTTGTACCTCTGGCTCCAATAAAAACATATGTGCACAAAGACACATGTGCGGGTTTTTTTTTAAGGATGTGATGTCTCTCTCACTGATAATGCTAATTGGTCTGTACTCGTGTTAGCCTCTTGTCGATTCCCTCGCGCTGTTGGTGTCTCAAATGAGACTCCAACAGCACGAGGGCAGAGGCTACACTCGTGTTAGCTTTGAAATTTTACAATAAAATCACAGAATACTCCAGTGACTGGTATTTGGTAAGCTAATTTTTGTTCCTAATCTTAAATTTGACATAAAACTGATTGACTGAGCTGAGAAACTGTTCTTTACAAACAATTCACAGTATAATATTTTGATTGTTATGAAAGGAAATTCACAACTACTACTTGACTGATGTACGTAGATTTCCCTTTACTAGTTTATTTTGTACTGATGGAGAAACGTGTCAAGCTCGGCCTGAATCGGTTCTGTTTTCTTTAACTTACACATAATATGTGCTGAAAACGTTTGGAATATATTTAAGAACCAAGATTAACATGTTTTCAAGTTGCTTAAGTTCTTTAAAAGTCGAGCAACATTGCTAAACCATAATGCACACAAATAAGTGATGCTATCTAAAGCGTATAAGAAAGAAAACATCTAGAGAGGGACATAAACACAGAATGGGGGGTTGTAACCTCTTGAAATTATCTAAACAGTGTCAAGACTAACTATTATTTTGCTTTTTTTGTGTGTGTATTATGACTTTTTGTGTCGAATAAAATTTGTACAGGTCTAACGATGACAAAAGTAACTCATATCAACTTGAATTTTGCACACTGTAAAGGGGTAGGGGATATTATGTTTGCATGTAAAAAGTGTAAGTGGCTTTAAAAAAAAGATATTTCTTGAAATCATCTCTTCACTCAGGTATACTTCTGGTTTAAAACTACTCCTCGAAATTCATGAAAATTGGCTATTCGTTGAAAGGTGACAAATCATTTATAGTAAGTAAACATTCTATAAATTGTAAAATGAAGTAGTGATTATCAATTTTCAAAATTCATTTTATCCACTTCTTGGCAAGTCAAAGGTATTTTGATAGCCAAACTTTATTTTGTAGACACATGTATAATTATGAATAAGACGCTCTTGAAATTTTTCAAGATTTATCTAATAAGCAGTTCTGTGGACAAATCTGAATAATCAAATTTAGTAAGAGTAAAGTCAAATCACTTTCGGAAAGATAAGAAAAATAATGTTTATATGGTAACGCTTAGATCCTCTTCTTTTATTTGGTGCAACTTATATATTGCATATTTCACGCATGAGTGATTAACAACAATTTGAAGAGAGGGTACCAAAAAGTCATTTGGCGGTATCTAAATTTCAAAGAGAAACTCACATTAATTTCTAGAAAGTTCATTTTCTGCCCTTTCATATGACACCTCAATCCCAGGAATAACAAAGTTCTGTTTGTTTAAAGTAATGCTTGAATTTCCATAATTTGATTAAACGAATTCGTTTTCACTGGCTGCCTGCCGTTGCAACAAACAGAGTTGACAAAAGACTTAACTCTGTTTCGTTGACGATCAGCCATGCATCAAGTCTTTCGTCTTCTGTGTGATACATTTGTGATACATAGATGACCCTTGGCCTTGCATCATAAACTAGAGAGGAAATGTATCAATTTTTCTCTCTCCATTTTCTCCTAGCCCACTTCTTGCAACTGACGACTGTGAGAAGAACCGATGGAAAAGATTTGGGTCAACATTGAAAATATTTATGGCAGCTCTACTATTGGATTAACAACTTAATCTTTAAATTTCCTTGTCAGTAATGAAACTGTTTTCTTTGGTATGCACATAAAATAATCATCTCCTGTCTTTCATGATTCAGGCACCATTCTAATCATATATATATATATATATATATATATATATAAGAATGTATTTAGGAACTGATTTTGATCTTGCATGTAATGCAATAATATTCAAAGAGTCGTATGAATTCATGCAAAACAAAAGTAAAAGCAAGTAGGAGAAAGGGAATTTTGGACTGAAAATTCAAAATTGATATTTTCAATCACAAAAACTCTTTTCGATCTTCCCCCGAACACGCCTGTATTTGAACACCTAAACAATCATGTGTCATAACTATCTCTGCTTCTTGTCTAATGACCTAAATAACCATAGGATGAACAATTGTATCATTTTTGTAATACTAGTAACGCTGGCCTCTTGTGAGGCTAGAATAATGTGTGCACGAGAAGGAGAAGTAGCAAAACTTGACTTTTCATACTTTTGTAACAGTTCCAGAATAACATTACGATATGGAAATCGAGCCCCATGCTACAGCTCTGCAAATCCAGCAGCCTTGTCAATGCCTGTGAATCAGAAACTAAAATTTGAGAATGGAAGCGATGGCTGTTCCATTCACTTGACAATCGACCCTGTTTCAAGAGATGATGAAGGTACCTACATTCTCACTGCTTACAAGAATGGTGTCATGCTACCAGACTATCCGAGAATCGGGTTACGTGTTGATTATCCTCCTGGTAAAGCATTGTGTGAAACAAGCAATGATTATAATGATGAGGACTGGATCTCTCTGCGATGTACAGCTCCGCTAGGGACTCTCCCAGGCCAGATTGTATGCTATCAAAATGGCCTCCGATTACCTCCATTTACTAATCCCGAACAAACAGATCGAATCATTGCTCAGACTTTACTTGCTAGATTTGTAGATACATCTGTATTTTGTTGTTCTGCTTTGCTTGAGGAAAGAAAAAATGAGTGTGAATGCAATGATTTTGGTTGGAATCCAAGTCAAGAGACTGCATTAACTGAAATAATTGACCCTTGCCCTACTCAACTCTCATTTTCTACCCTCGATCCAACATTATCCACTTCCCTTACTGGGGATGTTCAAATGGATTCTTCTAATTCCACCCTTCCAACTAGAATACCTGAACAAAAAACATATTATTGTGATAACCGAAGTTTGTGTATTTCAATGCACAGCTTAATTGGTGTGATCGTTGCCCTTATTATGATCAATATTACCTTAAGTGCAGGGCACATACTTAAGACTTGGAAAATTGAGAAAAGTCTTAGAAACCTTTGTAACTTGGTTACATCCGATATGTTACAGAACCGGAGATCACTGATTACAGAAAGTGAAAATATGGGGTAAAAGAAAATACTGACATCAACTTATTATGGTCAGTGCTCTTTTAAGCACTTCAAAGTTACGTAAAAAGTTGGAAATTGAGAAGAGTCAACCAAGGTAACTTGGATACATCCAATGTGTGAAATAACTTGAAAGCATTGGTTACGGAAAGGGATGATGAAATAAAAAAAGTCTGAAGCTAAGCAAGATGCAACATTCATCATTGTTTTGAGATTTTAATGTATCATGTACGACATGTAGACCATAATAATGAGAGACTATGTTTGAGATAATCAGTTAAAAGGAGAGAAAAGAAAGAAAGTCACGTAGACATATAATGTACAGTGCAAGAACAACGCTGGATTGCCTATGAACTTATATCGCCGATTCATTATTTTGAGCTTATCGTTATATTT